GCTGGCCTCGTTCTTCGCAGTGTACGGCTCAGAAGGACTCACAGAACACTCACGATGAGAACAGTCTCTTTGGAAAAGATAAGGGGCTGGGTCTATGCCATTTGGCAGGCTGGGTCTATGCCCTAGAAACATGGCATGACTCACCACCACAGAGCCTCCTGCTGGTCATGCTGGGAATTAGCTCTTGAGCCCTACAGCGCCCCCTTCTGGCTGGTGTCCTGCCTGCGGTTATCTTTTATTCTCCACCACTTTGGGTTAGGATCCACGTCCCTCCCAGACTGTGGTGTCCTCCCATGTGGGTACTGCCCTGCTGGGGTCCTCCCTCTCAGGGACCTCCCAGCCCTCTGTGCCCACCTGGCCTCAGTGGCCCACTGCCAATCTTCATTTAGCCCCCGCCACAGGGCAAATGGCAGTGTGAAATGGCCACTCATCATTGGCAAGGGGTATGAACCTGCTGCCTTCTACTGCCCTGCCTGCCTCCCTTGTGCCTCCCCAGGATATACCCTGTTACGGTTGGAACGTGGTGCTGCAGAAGGTACACGCAGAGCTCTGGCACGCATGTCTGCTGCTCTGGCTTTGGGGTGGACAAATCAGAGCCCAGGGGGGCAAGCAAGGGCTTCCAAGGACTCGCTAATTTGGCGGCGCAGACAACGCCGAGTGACCCGGCCTGTGTGCTGGTGGAGGAGGACACCGAGCCGGTGGCTGATTTATGGCTGTGGAGAGAGAGAGAAGGGTCTCCGAGTTAAGCTGTAGACAAGTTGCCATGGAGACCCGCTAATAAAGCACTCAGCAGCAGCTGGCTTTGACAATGCAGCCCCTGATACAGAAACAAGGGGGCAGTGAGTGTGGAAGGGAGGCAGATGTGCAGTGTGAAAGGTGGGGCCGGGGTGGCTCAGAGATGGGGCCGGGCAAGTCTGGGGCGGTGGAGGGAGACCTGCTCTCCCGAGTGATTATGGGAGCAGAGCCCTCTGAGGAGAATGGGACTCCCCCACTGCCGTAAGGGGGCAGGTGCTCAGACGGACCGCTGCAGGGGAAGGAGACGGGCCGGCGCGCTGGGGAGGAGCGCGCTTCGGTGGAGGGAGAGCAACACCAGGGATTGCTCCTTTGGGCTCACCCCATCCTTGATCTAACTCCAATGGTGCGGGCCTGATGCTCACACGCAGGGCCCCGGGCCCAGCTCTGGCCACGTCCAAGGCCCCTCTTTCAGGCCCTCTGTGCTGGCAGAGTGGTGGGAATTAACGGCACGAGGCCTTGTCTCGAGATCCCTACCGGGCTCGCCTCCCCAGCGGCTGGCACCAGGTCCACTAGAGCCATTTCCACGCCTCTCTGCCCCTCCCTTTGCGTGGTGAGCTGGCAGCG